GGTTAAAACATGGCGCTTTGGGTAAAAACCCTGTTGAACCAAGGCGCGTCGGATAGGTTTTAACCCTCTGACCACGAAACATCAGTAACACCGACAAACGTACGTGAGGGCCAAGAGGCAGACGAGCGGGAAAAGGATGATTTCAGCGAGAGCGGCGGCGCGCAGAATGTTACGCGACTGGAACTCCACCAGCGAAATGAGCAGCCGCGCCACCCACATCGAGTTCTGGCCCAGCGTCTGTAACACGTAATACACATATTATAATACGCAAAGGTATGGCGATGGCGTCATCAAAATCACGTCAAATTAAGATCTGAGAAGCATATTATTGACTTTTAGAACAATGCGAATATCACACACATTTGTAACTTATTAATAGATAGATAGATGTCATGGGTTCGAATCCAGGCTCGCACCTCTTAGTTTCTCGGAATTTACGTGCGAAATTTAATTGGAAATTCACCATGAGCTTTCGGTAACTTAGAAATTAAAGCTATAATAAGTACGTATGCCACAGGGATTCGAGCCGTTGACCTCTCAACCGAAAAGCAACCGTTCATCAGCGTGTACTAAAACGTAACCACTTTCCTTACATAAAGATGTATTTGGCAACTGTAAGAACTTCAGTGACATGTCCCTGACAGGTGTCGCGTACGCGTAACAAACGTATTTGTTTTTGGTCACGAAAATTTCACTGTTAACCTAGTTTAAAATTACGTAATTATCTTTTACAGTTTAACAATTTATTTATAATCTATAAACCGGATTACGTGTAAATTTTATCTATAATTTTTACAACCAGCGCACACTGACAAGCGCTTCTAAGTATCGTTATAATAAACAGCTCCAAATTTCAGTATTACAGTGCGTCATTCAGAACTACTAATAGACTATAATCATCTGCATCTTGCATGATACCATCCCGAGTAACCAAGCCAATACTAGATTTGCTTTAGTATAATAATAAGACAAATATGATAACTCCATACATACGTAGCAGCGCAGCTTGTATGTGTGCACGCGGGTCGCGCTATATTCGGAAGCACACATACGTATAATCTCGCGGGGCACTCGCGTTGCATAGGGCCTTTCATTACCGAATTAAAGCGTTCGCTCGGTGTTTAAAATGCGATACCAAGGATTAGACGTGTTCATTGTTGTGTTTGTTGTTGTTTAAACAAGAGTGCCTCAAATTCAGAATTATTCAGCATTTAATTTCTATTTCATAATTATAATCCCACAAATTAAGTCTCACATATAAATATCCATAAGTGAATACTGTATTTGAATACGATTATTTCAATATAGCATGAGAATATTGTCATAAACATGTAGAATATTTTTTCAAATCATGTTTATAACAAAAATAATAATGTGACACCCCTACGCTCCGAGCGAAGTGTTGATATTGACGCTGCGAACGGGCGAGAATAGCACTATTATTAAAAAACAATTAAGTCAATTTTAGCAAACATATATTTCATTTGACAAACTTCTGCTGTCCCCATTGACTTATGGCTGTCCCGATTTTTTTCATTTCATACAATGAAATTATCCACTGAGTCGATCAGCAATAAAAAAAAATTTTGATCAATTTTATGACCAAAAATTTATAATGCCAAAAAAGATGTAATGATTCCTAAGTCAGTTTCCTTGTATCTTCTATGGTTTCGGAATTCCCCATACTGTCCCATTTAAAAATAAAGCACTCTGTGTATACTATGCTAGTGGTAAGTGTAGTTTCTTTTGACAAATTTTAAGAATGCACTTAATGCACTCAAACGATTTTTAACAATGATCTTAATTTAGACTGAGTGACTAAGATTATATTGTCGCATTTAATTGAGGCGATTATAATATGTAATTTCATAATTATGAAAGTAGTACAACGCGTGGCGATAACATCATAGCACAATTACTTAACGAGATAACGAGCCTTTGCAGAGTCACAAGGAAACAATCGTGGAGTCAGTGTCATTTATTACCACGACCGGAAATACTTCAGATTCATTCTTATTTAGTTGAGAATAAAAATTAATTCAAATATAAATCCAAGCTACAACTTCCAGTTGATGTTATCGATACTCCGAGTCCAAGAACTTTAAGAATGATGTTGATGACACATATAAAGTGAATAATACCTCCTTCTGAAATCCGGGAATTGTTTTTTTAACCGACTTCAAACAAAGAAGGAGGTTCTCAATTCGAGTGCATGTTTCTTTTTATGTATGTTACGCGATAAGTCCGAATTTCTGACCCGATTTTGATGATTATTTTTTTGTTGGAAAGAGGATATCTCAGTAGTGGTCCCATTTAAGAAAATATTCCATCTCTGACTGTGACAAAACTAGAGATGACTGACTTTTGAGGTCGGTTTTTTTTAAATTAATTAATATTACTTTACTATGGTAGAGTATTCAAGAGAAAAGTTTTGTAATTGTATGTAAAAATATAATAATTTTGTTTTGATTTTTATTTTCAGCAATCCGTGTAATAGCATGTAAGAATGACGTGTAAGAGAATACAAGAGAAATAGTTTAAATGCTTATCGATTTACGCCAAGCGTATGAAGCTAGCATAGTGCCAATTGTATACCTAACAATAATTATTTCGTTGTTTCAAATCTACGCGACGATTAGTATCTTTGATTGATAAGACCTTTGCGGGCACATTCCACGAATACGCAGATATCTATTTGACTCTTACACTAAATTGCTTGTCTATCAATTATTGCCCATCTAAAAAAAGTAACCTTTCGATAACGCATTTTATAATTAGACTAAATATTGAATAAAAGTTAAGTGCCATTTGTCTAGTCATTAAATAGACTAGGTCATAAATAATAAATACTTAAATTTTACTTAATATTATGTTATAAGAAAATAGGAAAAATTATTAGTAATTTGTGGTGATATTTATGTTTGTACTAAATGGCTACGATTCTGGCAAACGCAAACTGAACTCAATTTAACTTTAGTGCAAATGTCTTTTTAACTTTATGTAGACAAGAACAGAAGATTTGCTATATATTCCTTATTGCAACTACAACAACAAATAATAAAAGAAATATTAATCCTATAAATAGTGAGCAAATTGTTGTTTTTATACAGAGCTATCAAATGTGTCTACAAACTAATACATAGACAGCTGGTATTTGTAGCACAATAAAATTTATAATAAGCTGTCACAATTTGACAGTTCTAAATTGTAAGCCTTCTGTTTTTTTTACTACAAAATATTTTTATGGCAAATTATACAGCGCCTCTAGTGATCACAAGAACATTTTGCATACAAATATAAAATTATGTTTATTTAGTAATTTGCTGCGAATAGCATTATTAAATCTTTAATAAGAATGTGTTAGTTCTTTTATGAACATGTCAGTCAATAGCAGAATGTGAACTGTGAAACAATTCGCCAGTTTTAATCTCCCGCCACTATTGTTTGATATAAACTCTGTGTACTTTATATTTACAGTATATTGCGTAGAGATAAATAAACGATTATACAACAGTCATCGTAAACTCACGGTTGAGGCTCTAAATTTTAAATTAAGTAGTTTTCACTTGTCCGAATCGACACCCAAGTCTATTTATAATGCCAAGCTGTAACAACAATACATACCACCCGTTACAGAGCTTGGAAGGTATAAACAATATCTCGTTAAAGTAATTGCGAGGCAATAGCTGGTTTACATTGTCGAGGTGTCACCAAGTGACGGAAATATATATATACATATTACGTAGGTGATAGATACTTACGTCAAGAATGGTGAGAGAGTACGACGCCGCGTGGAGTAGAGCGAATAAGAAGATTGGCGTCAATATCACTGTGGTACTTAAATTAAGGAAATTTCAGGTAAAGTGGGACTCAACATGGACATTTTGAGACGTATTTTGACCGTACGGAAAACCGGTTTTTGTACATAAAAAAATATTAGCGAGGCTTGAAACACAATTGACTAAACTTTGTTCTAAAAAAAATCACAAAGTTTAGCAAATTGTCTCTCCCGTATTCCGTAATAATAATAATAACGCAAATATACACAAAGACAAACAAATTACACACAAACTCACGAGAGAAATAAATGTACTGTAATGGACCTTTGCGTGACATTCCAGTAAGGTTACCTTTCGGCCACAGAGGCATTTCATAATAATATAGTTCCTAATGAATACATCAGGGGACTATGAGCTTATTTCACAGTAAGAGAGTATATTTTATTTCTAAAAAGCAAATGTTTGAATATCTGCAATGACTTCCTCCTCGTCTACCTCGCACGGTTCAAAGCCTACGCAAACACGATACCATTTTGTCTCAACTGATTACAAAAACGCTACCAACAATGGAAATGCTGATGGAAAAACTGGTAGTTTGTAATTAGTTCAGAAATTTATCCGTGGTTAGTTTAGCCATCTACGCCCATGTCGCGTAATGACTCTTTTCTTCTGCCAATCGGAATCAACTCCGTAACAAAATAACACCAATCAGAGGTCTGATTGGTGAAACCTTAAAAGCGCTAATGTTACCAGGTAATTTAGCTATTTATTTTTATTTCAAATATTTGTATTAGTAACTCTTAGGCTACGTCAGTACTTAATATAATTATTAATTCATATTAAAAACAATGATTTCATCCTTTGAATGAGTTTCCACATCAAATTAATCATCTTAGAATAGAATTAATTAATTTATTACAACACAAAAATATACAAGTAAAAGTAAAAAAAAAACATCGAAGGAAACATAATCTAATTTTAAACAGTAAACTAAATTTGAATAAATGTAATGAGTGCGGTTGTGGCGTACGTAATAGGATCAATTCAGCTAATGTCACAGCTGAGTAAAGACTGTTATGCTGATTTTCAGTAGACATCTTTAAGATGCTGTTATCACTGCCCCACTCGGTTTATAAGCGAGGTCGTTTTCTTGCGCCATAGGTACCGCGTCGAAACCGTCTGTTCATGCCTCTACAAACATTTTTTTATGTCTTTGCCAAGCGACGGTACGAGCTAGTCACGCGACTGGTGGTAAGCGGCACTCCTGTATCATAGTAGTTACAGTGCCGCTTAAAGTTTTAAATCGCAAAGATCTGAGAGGTACTGCTACTGCGCCTGTCACAGGCATAAGTTGACAAATTCCATGGGGCTGTAATTTCACCAGGACCCTTACTCTTTCAAATCGGAACGCAGTAATGCTGACATTAGCGATTGGTGGCAGAAATACGAGGAGCGGCAGAAAAGTTTTGAGCCAAAGTAAGTAAGTTAGTCACTAATGACTCGCGGTGCACGTCACTAATTGCGAATAAGTAGTATTATACACCGAAATCCATGTCATTAGCATCATTACGCTTTTAGTAATTGAACCCTAATCATCACCATGTCTGAGTCATCCGCGCATTGTACGAAATTGGAGTACCTACAGAGCTGTCATAAAATTCCTCACAAAAAAGAATAAAACGCCGACGGAAATATTTAAAGAGATGTCTACAGTTTATGGGGAGTGTGGCCTATTATTTGCCACCTTAAAACGTTGAGTCGAGAATTCAAGCACGGCAAGGAGTCGCTGGAAGAGGATCCCAGGTCAGAGCGTCCAAACACTGCCGTTACCGACGAAAATATTCAAAAAGTAAAAAAATGTTCTAAAAGATCGGCGAAACAAGTTGTGGCAGATAGCTGAAGCCATAAACATTAGCAAGGAACAAATTGGCGACATTTTGCATTTTGTAGTCATTTGCACATGAAAAACGTTTGCGGGCGATGGGTGCCGAAAATGCTCACGCCGTTCGACAAGCAGCGTCGAATCACAACTTCGCAGGAATTTTAGACATCTGTGGCGATAATCCTGACGTTTTTTTGTCGCATTGTCACTGTTGATGAATCGTGGATCCGTCAGTACGATCCAGAGTCAAATCAGGAGTCATTGCAAAAGGGGAAAACTTGCCACGGACATTCAAAGTGGAAGGATTGGCATCCAAGCTCATGGCCATTGTTTTCTGGGACTATTTGCCTAAAAATACTACAATGAACGGGGATTATTATGCCATATTGTTGACAAAAGTGCGTAAAGTGGTTGTCGAGAATAGGAGAGGCAAACTGGGGAAAGGCGTCCTGTTTTTGCAGGACAATGCGCCCGTGCACACTGCCCGTGTTGCAAGACGTGCCCTGGCCGAGACAGGATTTGACGGAATCAACCACCCATCCTACAGTCCAGACGTAGCCCCTAGCGACTATTTCCTGTTCTCCAATTTAAAAAACGACCTCCGAGGGCGAAGATTTTCGAGTAATGAAGTAATGAAAGCGGTTGTAGACGAGCATTTGGAAGGCAAAGACGACGAATATTTTTTCACTAGGTTAAAAGCCTTTATGGTAAATGTAATAAGTGAATTGAAGTAGAGGGAGAAAAAATATTTTTTTTTACACATTTCTATTGGCATTTTTAATACGCTAGGCTCAAAACTTTTCAGCCACCCCTCGTATTACGTGGCAGTCTTCTCTGGGCGACCTTTTTCACAAGGAGCTTCTTATACTTTAAGACAAAGTTCCAATCAAAATTGTACCCTATTGGCGTAACTTAAGGTATTTTCGTCGTTTAGATCAACGCGATGAGCACACGTGTATGTTTTCTAAAGTATTAATAGTATGCAGTGACCGATCGATTCGTCTCTTATTGACCTACATAGACAGGTTCATGATTAATCATATTAAGGACATTCGTTCACTTTTCGTTGTTTATTATTCAAGGTATCGTTGCGATGACGAATAAACCGTTATTGGATAATGACAACTCTATGGATATAGAGTTCTTAGATTTTTGCAATTGTTATTCTTTGGAAATTTCTAGTAGAGCTCCATGTGAAAGAGTTCGTCTAGAGAAGTAAAGTGAGCATTACTGCGTTCCGGTTTGAGGGTAAGAGTGCTGGTGAAATTACAGGCACATGGGACGTGTCAACTTATGCCTCAAGTGACGGGCGCAGTGGCAGTGCCCCTCAGATCTTAGTGACTGTTATGGACAGGCGAGTCTATTGCCACTGGGCGCACGACCTGAAATGGGCTAGTGCCCGGTTTTTAACCCGGCGCTGTGTTAACATCGGGGTTTAATCGGGTTAAAACCTGTTAACGCCTGAAACCGAGTTTCTGTGCAAATTGAATGATATTATTACAAAAGTTTATTGTTTTCTGATGTAGACGTTTCGATTTGCTTTTCTATTGAATTAATTCGCTTGAAAATTGCATTGAAATAAATCGATACAAAAAATCATTAGATCGTATGAACTTGAATCGATTTTCATAAAAATCGAATCTTAATGTGCATCCTTAATAGTGTAGGCAACAAAATTAGGACGATGTAAGAGCTATTTTCCATTAAGCGACTAACTTACTTGTGCTGTTACTTGGTACTCCCATGCTTCCATCCACATTCGCTCTATAAATTTGTCCATCCGTCCGTCAATCTACCAACATTCATTCTTTCTACAAGACCAAACCATGGAAGCATCCCTCTCTCTATCCTTGTCACTACGTCATCTTTCATAGCACAACGCTCTTTCAGTACCTACACCGTTCGAAATTCTGTCTTTAACACTAACACCGCACATAATGGTTTGCCTTGAACCAAGTTCGTATCAAATTGAAATCATTATTTTTATATTAGGTATAAGGTAAGGTAGTACATATATATAAGGCAGTAATATACTTTGTTCGTTTAAACTTTGACCTCTATATTTTTTTACTATTTATTAATACTATAAAAGACCTTGTACACGTGTACCCAGGGCTAGGCAGTATTTTACATAATTGTATAAGAAATAAGTATTGGATATGAAAAAAACGTATTTTGAGTTTATTTTCAATTACTGTTATCTACAAATGTAATGTAATTAATTAAATATCAGACAGTAATGCATTTTGTAACGATGATATTTTAATTAACTGCCTCTGTGGCCGAATGGTTATCATGCCGTACTGCCACGCTGAGGTCCCGGGTTGGGAGAAATATTTGTATGGCCTACATTTATTTTTCTCGTGAGTTTGGGTGTAATTTGTGGTTGTCTATTTGTTAGTCCATGGCACCCGCGATACAGGGTTTCCTTAGTGCTGGGCTAGGAGTGTATGCGTAATTATTATTGTTAAATAAATGACGTGAAAATACCGTATTTTGTATTTTCAACAGTCTTCACTAAAGTATTTTGTTTACCGTATTTAAAACACATACATATGCGATCTCAAAAATAATACAGGCCACATTCACATTGTACGCATTCGTTATTTATTCTTTTTTTGTCAAAATTAGTGACACTCCTTTGTTTACTTCGTTTCGCTTTGAATGAACAAAATGGAGAAAGAAAAAGCAAAATGTTTACAAATGAGCAACAACTTTTTGTTAACAGAGTGCCTAAGGTCCATTTCTAACAAATATAATAAGCGCATTTCCTATTTATATGGACATTTCGTACTGAAAAAAGTAGCCACCATAGTCGTCTTTTATTTCATATTTTGGTAGATTACTTTTCAGCCGCCTCTCTTATCTAAGGTTCGAAGTGGAAATCATCATTGGTAAATATCATGATATGGCGCTAATTATTTTTATCAAATTAATTGCGAGTTGTTCCAATTAATTTTATAGAATGCTACCACTACAAATGTCGTGTAAAGTGTTTGTGAAAAAAGTCACAAATCAAATCATTTTCGCATGGATTATTCTTCGTGTTTATTTAGTTTTCTCATTGTTTGTCATTTTAGTCAAAACGTAAAGAGACAATACGTTAGTATGGATGATTATCATTGACTTACAATTATATGGACGTCGGATCCGCGCTAAAAAATGTCCGAACTTATAGGGCGTTAAAGTCGTATACAGAGCGTCATTCACGCTTTAGTCTTCGTTTGTTCGACTGACAGCGAAGCAAGCAAAATTAGACAGTACTGCGATGACATTACAATTTAAATTCAACGTTTTAGCCTTTTCATATTCCTTTACATGTCACTACGTTTAAATAGGTTGACTTGGGACATTTTTTTCGTGGTTTTTGTATTTGACCCGTCGTCCATTTATTTGTAAGTCAATGATGATTATCAAAAAATAAATATCTTGATAAATTTGAACCTTGCAAAAATTCACTGCACCCTGAAAAAACAACAACTTAGTTACAATGCAAAATTTTTAACCGACTTAAATAAAAAGGAGGACGGTCTCAATTCGACTGACTGTATTTTTTTGTATGTATGTATGTTCCCATTTTAATTTAAAGAAAATATTCCACATTTAAGGGTGGCAAACTAGGGGATGAATCCGGTTTCGCACACTTTCCGGTAACCGATTTCAATGAAACTTGGCAAATAGACGTAATTCCACGAACTTTTGAGGTATTTTTTTTTACTTATTTTTTTAGGTTTATCTATTTTAATTAAGACATTCCACGTATTTTGCCCTACCCTGTTTATACCAGAAATAAAAGCAGAAACTGAAGGCCATCAAATTTATGGAAACGAAAAAAGCAACATTTTTTCTACATATTTTAAATTTGTAATTATATTTTAAGCGTCGCTTTTGCTCACGTGTATACCTGTTTCTTAAGTTTTAACATGTTCTTAACCATTTCTGGCTACAACAGAATCTCAGCGGGGGTTATGAACTCAATATAACCTCTGTATCTGACTCATAAGCCCAGCGGACATGTTTCTTTAATATTAATCTAATTTTCCTTGTTTTTATTGTATAGCATTTTTTTCCTTTTCATACATTTAAAACTCATAAAATGCAGAGCTAATACATTAAAATCGCGAATTTTCGAAATATGTGCAACAGACGTTGAGATTATTGACATTTGGCCTTCACTACAACACTTGCATGAGTTTTTTATCTATAATTATTATAATGGTAATTAAGGTAATGGATTAACAAAAGTTCTTCACAAAAAAACAATTACGTAATTATTATTAACCTGTTATTCACATAGTACGGTTATTTCCAAATATTCTTTGAGCACTAAACTCGCGAACAATGTCTATAGCAATGGAAAAGAATCTATAGGCGAGTAGTACGATTGCAATCACGTACCATTAGAAATGTATGTACATGTTTACATACATATTCGAATATCGTTGTATGGTGTAATAGCCATAATATGATGACGAAGTAAACAATTTAAAAAGGATACAGAAATTAGGCGCTACATTCATAAAGATGAGTGAGTAGAAGAGGTAGTGCGCAGAGTCCTCGAGGAAAAACCGTGCTAGAAACTCTCGCGAGAATGATATTTGTGCGGGCGGGATGCGTTGGTGAAGACGTAGAGCTGATGTCGCTGCGTTCGCTAGGAGGGCCTTGTAGAACGCTGACACCGGGCTGTGGATCAAAATAATATCTTAAGCTGAAATTCAATTTGGTAGGTCAATGGGTAATACTATGGGCTATAACAAATATGTAATGAGAACGGACACTCTCCGCCCCTCCCTAGCTTTAAATACCGCACCACGTCCCGCACATTGACGGTCACATTGACTGAACGAGATCAAGGCTGTGTTTTCGCTCTAAGACGGCTTTGAAATTTGAATATAGTTTTCATTTTTTCATTACGAAATTTGTACATCAATATATAACATAATTTTACTATACTATTTATAATGCTCGTGAATTGTACTGTGTACGGCTGTTTATAATCATCTAAACGGGATAAAAAGAGGGTTTCTTTCGTTTTTTGAAAGATGAAACGAAGTAAGTAAGAAAACTTGTCTGAGACTATTTCAGTTATTGTTTTCTTTAGTGCAGAGTAATATATAATACAGATTTATTATATCAATATAATAAGACGCCACAACTTCGTGAGCTAAAGAAGGGTTTTCGAATTTTCAATTTGTATTGCCGATAACATATTACGTAGTGAATATACCTAATTATTAATTAAGTAATGATAAACTTGGACACGCAATTTCAAATACTTTGGTTACCTTATGTAAAGGTACCTGTCCAAAGTATAACACTTTAAGTGCTTTTAATATATTTTTCAAATATATCTTCAATACTATTTCAGTTAGTGAATTAATAAAAAATATAACATTATATATCGACATATAAATACGTAATGAACATGTGTAATTATTAGGATTCTATAATAGAATTATAGATAACAGATTGCCGCTCTGTCCACGTAACGTAATAAATAGTACGAGCAAGTGATGGGTAACCCTGCCATTTCACGCACACATTTGCGCGTGTGCAGATAGCGCCTTGCTGTATGTAGTAGTAGTAGTAGATAAATAATTTTCGACCATTGTATGGAGTGTCCTGGGTGTGCTATGGGATTTTGTGGATAGAAACTTTCTTATATAACAAAACTTCGGTAATATATGCTACGTTTAGTCTGATTTGAAAATAACGCGGAAATCTATGCCAGGCGACTAACGGCCTTACCGCGATTACGGATTCTCTGGTTATATAGACGTTTGATTAACCAAGACAAAATTACAAAAAACATAAGAAGTAATAATTTTAGACGATCTCCGTGATCAAGTAGCTTGTACACCGGTTTTCATGGTGTCGCCATCGCTGAGGCCCTAGGTTCGAACCCGGCCGGGTCAATGTAGAAAAACTAACTTTTGTATATTGTCTCGAATCAGGGTGAAAGAGTACCGTCGTTATTTCCGATTTCCATAACACAAGTGCTTTAGTTACTTACTTTAGGATCCGAAAAGCATATGTGATGTTATTTAATATTGATTTATTTAATTTTTTTCCAAAAAAGCAAGAAACATAACTTAGATGCAGCATAAAACGCGTGCAGAGAATTACCTAATTATTCCAGGACCAAGCTACGCCTGTCTCACAGGTAATCAAACAGATCCTCGTTACCTACTAGTATAAGAATAGCGCGATTGGAAAGAACAATACCAAAAAAAAGTTTGAAAAAACAAACAACTTTGAATCCATATGACGAAATTCGAATACGTTTTAAAACAATAATATCTAAGCCGATTGCATAAACAATAGCTGTAAGGCTATATACACAAGCAGAGCGTAAATTTTATCGCATTCCATGGAGGTAGTTCCAATATTTTGCTGGATTTTCATATTCATATTCATATTCTTTATTGCACACCATAAGTTACAGAAGATGTTAAAACATAGATAAGTACAAATTATGGACCCTGTCGGGCACGGCAAGATAGGAGAGTGGAAGAGTCGTATTTAAGTTTATTTAATATTATTTAGGATTAATTAGGATTTTGCTGTCCATTGATTGAGACTTCTCAACAAGAGAATAATTTTGAAAAGACAGACGTATAGGCTAAGGACCACAGAACAATAAATACAGTAGAAATGGTTAGTTAGCGTCTGACGCGTGCCAACTATAGGTTTCGAATGACCTATCTGAGGTCAGTCCGCCATATTCGCTTGGTATGGTGTGGTTGTGTCATTCTTTCGTGCAAATTCTCTAAAATTCTAGAAAAATGCCTTATTGTGGTATTTTGGAGTGCAACTATGATAGACGCACCAAAAATATTACATATGGTGGTATTGCTTTTTTTTTTGCCCAAATTAAGAATGTGTGAGTTTTGGCGACATCGGTTCTCATAGTAATCGAGGTTTAAGATACTTCCATTGTTTTTTTTTCTTCCGTGCAAAAGAATATAGTTAGTGTATGGTGCTCAGAGTCAGTATTTGTCTGGTACTCATAGCCCAGGGTTTTCCTTAATATACAACCACCTATGTATGTCACATTATTGTGTGTCTGTGATTATGTAGGTTGTCCTAACCCTTCTACCCGAAATAGTGCTTTGTGTTTTTGGTCCGTGCTAACATTACTTGATGAGATCTAAATGCATTCTGGACACTTTACTCCTGATCTTTTTTCATAATATCTTCGATCGAGTTATAGCATACCAAATATTATAGACACCTGTTATTAGTCATACAAAGATCGAAAAAAAAACAGAAAGAAAAAATACTCCGCTGGACTCAAAGCAGCATTTGTTACCTCAACGTGGCTCGATCAACAATAATAACTACAAACTAGTGGAATATTTTCACAAACTCATGGTAGTAAAAGATATAGATATAAAATACTTACTTATTAAAAATAGGCATTATATATCCAATAGTGCAGAGTACAGTGGCTATTCTGATGCCCCATAGTGCTACGTCCACTTTGTTGGCGATTATATGGGCTTTAAGTGCGGGGATGCCTTTTGGTGGGCCCGTGTCACCTGCTTGCTGGTCCTGTTCAGCCATTTTCTGTTGCGGAAATTATTCATTAATAGAAAGTATGCGTAGACACAATAAAGTTCAATTTTCAATGATTGTCATCGGAATGTCTAAGGAATTTGTTCTCCAATGAAATATCATGTGTAATGTTGACTATATGCCACAAAATTCCTCATTGTGTCGCAGAGCTATTAATGGAGGTCTTTTTTTATTAGACCCACGGTTGGTGAAAATCTCACATAGATGTTAAGAGACCAACAATGGAACGCGTTTGTTTTAAATATTGACTCTTCTTTAATTATGACTAACTGACACTATTTTTCTAATCTAACCATTAAGTAAATTTTATGTGAAGAAAATTCAATGGTTATTATAATAATATAATAATAACGCACACACTCAACATAGCCGCGAACTATGGAAACACCGTGTCGCGAGTACCATGGACACACACATAGATAACCGCAAATTACACACGAGAATGAATGTTTGTTTATTTTGAATGTTTGTTTATTTCAGTAATACAATTAACTTTACATTAACAGTGGATGGTACCTCCTATTACGCTTATCAAGCCTGTGTCAGGAGGCACCGCTCTTCCATAGCTATAAATGCATATTTAACATTTTTAACTTATACTTAATGTAGTGTTTAACCTTAAACTGCCTCCGTGGCCGAACGGTTACCATGCTGGACTGCCACGCAGAGGTCCCAGGTTCGATTCCCGGGCCGAGAGAAATAGTTGTATGGCCTACAATTATATCTCTCGTGAGTTTGGGTGTAATTTGTGGTTGTCTATGTGTGTGTCCATGGCACCCGCGACACAGGGTTTCCCTAGTGCGGGGCTATGTTGAGTGTGTGCGTTATTTATTTATTTATTTATTAGTGTTTAATTTTTACATTTCCAAAGATCGACAAAAACAAAACAAACAATTTTTTTATTTTTTTTTTAACAATTTTCAATTTTCTTAACTTAAAAATAAATGTAGGCCACACAAATATTTCTTCCGGCCCGGGAATCGAACCTGGGACCTCTGGATGGCAGTCCGGCGTGGTAACCGTTCGGCCACAGAGGCAGTTTTATTATTGACATGGAAGGATTCTACAACATTATAATGGTCATGTCAAGCAATAATAAACTTTAGCGAATTCACATTTAGATGTTTCTGTTAATTCATACAGTTATTTAAAACAAACGTCAATTATTAACTCAAGAAGAAGTGACATAAAAATGTTATCAATTTAACTGCCTCAGTGGCCGAACGGTTACGGTGGGAAGTCCCAGGTTCGACTCCTTGGCTGGGAAAAATATTTGTATGGCCTACATTTACGTATGTGTGTGTCCATGGCACCAGCGACCCAGAGTTTCCCTAGCGCGGGGCTATGTTGAGTGTGTGCGATGTTACGATGATAAACATTTCATTATATACAAGCTATTAGTGTATTTTTTGTAAATACAAGGCAATGGTAAAATCACTTAAAAATAAAATTGCATAAGGTACAATTAAATATTTTGCATGAAAAGTTAAATAATAGATTAGGAATACATTATTATTAATGTCCTTTCAGGGTCTGCGCAGATTTTCATCACAGTGACCAGTAATTGATTTATTGTGATCACTAGTAGTTATAACATGGAGCCAAAGCCAACCGAATAAGCGAAGTATAGGATTTTGTAGCCATCTGGCCGAGGCATGTGCTTTGCTCATAGTGAGTATTTTGAGACCATTAAGGGGTAGCATTGGGTAAGGAGGAGCAGGGGAGTCTCATTTGCTGAATACCTGAATCAAATCACAGCTCTCTTTTAGGTTAGGTTTGATACTACGATTACTAAGTGAAATTGTTGTCTTTGATTTAAACGGTCACTCTTATAAGTATGATTCACTATGGTGTGACAGGCTGGTGTTTGCAACTCTACCTTTAAGCACCTATTTTGCGTTTGGTATGATTCACTATACATATATAGCACACAAAATATGGGACATGAGATGTAGTCTGTTGCATCTAATTGCGGTGTCTTTCTTTACCTGTCTGCGCAATCTGGAAGACAACAGTAAGCAGTAGAGCTCCTTGTGAAAGAGTTTGTCCAGGCAAGTACTGCTACCTTACCTATTTCTGCCACCAAGCAGTAATGCTAGCATTACTGTGTTCCGATTTTGAAGGGTAAGGGTGCTGGTGAAATTACAGGCACATGGGACTTGTCAACTTATGTCTCAGGGTGACAAGCGCAGTGACAGTGCCCCTAAGATCTTTGCGATTTGAAGCTCTGAATGGGGCTGCAACTGTTATGAACAGGCATGTAGCTTACCATCAGGCGCACAACTTGTTCGTCCTGTCACTTGATATTATAAAAAAAATAAAAATAAAACAGCATTGCTTTGCAGTACAAATAGACAGGTAATGAAAGAGACTCAGAGACGTATTCTAGAACTCTGCTCAATGCTCAAGTCAGGATTTGAGCAGACTTGAGTATGATTTCAAGCACTGGAAATACAACCCTAATGGCAAGGACTTGAGTATGATTTCTAGTGCTTTGAATCATACTCAAGTCCTGACTTGAGCATTGATACAGTTATAGAATACGATCCCAAGTCTTTTAGGCAATTTATAATGACTCAACTCCATTTTACAGGACTCGACTCTAAAATTAAGACTGGGGGGTTTAAGACTCAGTTAAGACTGGGGGATTTAAGACTCAGTTGTTATACTAAAAGACTCAAAAGACTTAAACAACTCGAGTTGTTTGCAAAGGACTTATATCTATTTTATGTCTTATTAAACCCAATGTTTATAAATAATATGATGTAAGTAGTATGTAGTAAATAATCACGTTTATTAACTTATAATAAAAATCGTAAAATAAATACCTTGTGGGTAGAAATAAAATCACGTCACACGGCTCATGACTGACGGCACCAGTTGTTTTAGTCTTTTTAGTTATTTTAGTCCTATAAATCTTTTAAGCTTCCTAGGGTCAAAAGACTTCAACTCGAATTAGTCTTTGTTTTAGTCTTATGACTCAAACCTTGAGGGTTAAAAGACTAGACTAGTCGTGAGGCGTTAAAAATTAGTCGAGGTTTTTTTTAAAAGGCCTTAAAAGACTAAGGGTTGTATTCGAGAACTCTGCTCAATACTCAAGTCAGGACTTGAGTATTGCAGTGAGCACTGAAAATCATACTCAAGTCCTTGCCATTAGGGTCGTATTTCCAGTGCTTGAAATCATACTCAAGTCTGCTCAAATCCTGACTTGAGCATTGAGTAGAGTTCTGGAATACGGCCCTGAGTCTCTTTTATCAGATATAGATAGGACAGTGAAACAGATTCAACCAGGTTCTTCACTGAGAGAGTGAGAGAGAAAGCTCTACCACCAGTGTGAATAAACATATTGCATTCTGGCAGTATGCTACATTATACTGCAGAAATACAACCTTAACAGCATACACATAAGGTGACAGCACTTTCAAAGACACTATAGAGTAGAAAGTAATAATAATTACGCCTACCTTATAGGTGGTAAAGTGTTTTCACTTTTCACAAGCTAAGTAGGTCACTAACAATTGGGCACTTCTAACCATGTATGTGAAAAAAATATATTTTTAATGATAGTAATTGAAATGGCTAAGCTCCAGGTACCTAAAAACTGATAAAGGGCAATCAACTGTTATAAAAGCTGATTGTGATAACACACTGATAGGAAGTGACTGTAACCAAAAAGGTTTTGGTAGACTCACTGTAAAACAGCAGATAAATAGACAGAAACTACTGGAGCTGTTTGCTGTTATTGCCTTATTTAAAACACTGTTGAAAAGAACAATCTTTTTTTAACGAAAGAAGTAGTTCAATGGCGCAATCAACGTATTAAAAATTAGTTTGAGGTTAACAAAATAATTATCATTTCAACCTTCACGTAATATAGATATAAACGTAAATTAACATAAGACAATTGCCAAGGACTCTGATTGAGGAAAAAGCTTGTTTCCGTCCTCGTCAAATACTGGAAAAAAATAACACTTAGGTAATAAATCCAACAGATCTAACATTTCTCATTTACATTTATAATTAGATACACACAGAATAAATACTCACGTTTTCGAAGTTTTTAAAATAAATAAGCGTTGATTAACTATCCTTTTCAAATAAATTCACAAATTACGCGACCAAAATCGACATGATTTTACCAAATGAAAGGAGCGATGACAGACAGTGGATTGTGATCATTGTGGGATGTCATGACACATTGCTACAGATAAAAATAAACCGATAAGATGATTGTTTTTTTTTTTCTTAGCTGAGTGTCAGACGACCACACCATGCGTAAAGTTGTAAACGGTCAACTAAACTACTAATCACTAAGTACTGGTCTGTAATACTGCGTCTAAACGCACCTTAGCTATGTCAGGGTTGCTATAAATACATTTTTCTGCTTATTCGTTTATAATTATAAGCAAAGTCAATCGCTGTAAAACGAACTTTGCGGCTAAACCCTAAAAATCAAAAGTAAAGTTTCAGTGCGCGCAATCAAAACCCTCTCTTGGAAGATCGTCAAGCCGCATGGTAATCGCCAGTTTGAATTCCACATATGTACTCGCCCGCTTATAAAACAATGCCATTAATAATCTTGGCAAAGCTCTCGCTGTGACTTTTAACGTCTTAAATGCATTAATATACATAGTTTAATATGAAAGTCTGATTGGGGAGGTTCCACGTATGAAAAAAAAAGGTTCCTCGTATGGAATACCTACCGGTCTTTGCAATTAGATAACTGCCTTCACAAACTCAGCTCTTGCCTTAGAAAGGGTCAATTTTCTTAGCTGCAATCATCTGCCAAAATAAAAAAATATTGAAATAAAATATAATTAAAATTACAGTAAATTTACAATCAGACTCGTCCTATGGTACGCAATAATGAATTTTTAAATAACCACGATGAGGTGTTTGATGTCACCAGCCGGTCATATTATGCTTCTTCTGCGCCACGTGCAATAAGTATTCAGTAAATTAGGATGGCACTTAATTGACGCATTACTTGCAATAGGCTTTCGTAACACTTTTAAAAACTTTAAACTTTGAACCATTCTTATCCTTATTTTTACATTGACAAAAAAAATACAAATATACCGAAAACCGAAATGTTATTTTAGCAACACTTTTTAACAACACCCTCCCCACTTCGTCTCACTCACCTGCGCCTATCCCGGAATTGCCGATGCTTCGTCGTCTGCCGCCATTTTGTTTGCATTGCATTTGAGAACGCGGTAGTGTTTGCAGCGCAATATTTCGAGATTATCGTAGCTTACGTGACCAAATTTAACAAAAAAATGTGCATTTAATTCGTACGTGAGGTGATTACATCGTTCTTACAATACATTGTCGCAATACAGTGCTATCTGTGATAGATAACGTAAGTTCTTTATGTGTTGCCTTGCAAAACCTCGCCATATTGGCAACCACGTAATCGTGAGCTAAAAGATCAGTATTTTATTGGTTACAGTGATGTGCGGTTGAAGACTGTGCGTGGTATGTTGAGAGTCGACGTTCTGAACGTCAAGCATTATGGCGAAGGAGGTCGCGGAAGAATATGCGTCGAGTTTGGCAGATCTGACGGTGAACAGCAAACCGTTAATAAATATGCTGACCATACTCGCGGAGGAGAACATCGACCACGCCGGGGTTATCGTTGAAACCGTGGAGAAGCATTTGGAGAAGGTGAATTTGCATTTTTAAAATTACGCGCACGGGCGTTGAGGAATAATGCCACGGAGTGACGTGAGCATCGGGCGGACGGGGAAAGTACGGCGGTGACGCACGCTGAGCGTGTTTACGATGACAGTGAGACTAATCTGACCGCGATTGTAAGCAGTCCACGAAAGCAGGTATCTCCCCAGATAACTCGAAACTTTTTCGATTCGTTTGTCGCCTTGTAGAGAGGAATGTTTTCGCATTTAGGTAATATTGTGAAATCTGTCGACGTTTCACTTTTTTGTTATCAATACATACCTGAGTTTCTTTTTATTATTTTCCAAGTAAAACTTTGAATTTTGATCTGAGAGTTATTGCATTTCGTTTTGAGTATTCTACATAGATAAATTATTTTTGGAGATTTTTAGAATGGTCATTAATTTTCTCTATTATTTAAATTATGAATTTGTTTACAATTTTACATTGTGTTGTGCGATATTTTGTGGACTAATGGGAGATACCTGTTCTAAATTAGTACTTACTGAATACCATACCTAAAAATTTGCCTGCAATGGTATGTAATCATTATCATAATTCAAACAAAATTTCAGTTGTGTACTGAATTTATTATTAAAAATAAAGGTTTTTTAAAACTGAGCTCTTACTTATTTATTTTCATGTGAGAATTAAAAAGCTTGCAGAAGTACATTTTTGTCTTATTCTATCCTGCACCATGTCATACTTGGATATCCAGTAATCAAAGTGAAGAAAGAAGGTTGATTAGTACAAGTCGGGTGGGAAATCGACTTGGTCAGCCAGGGGCGGGACTAGATCTCTATATTTCCTCCACACAGGTACACCCAGACATCAAGCTGCCTGTTCTGTACTTAGTTGATTCCATTATCAAGAATGTTGGCGGAGCGTACACGCAGAAGTTTGCACAGAGCATCGTTAACATGTTTACTAGGACCTTTAAACAGGTAATTTGCTTTTCTTTTTACTAAAATGGCCTAAAATTTAATTTGTATTTCTTCAACAGCAGTTTTAAGTGCACTTTCTTCACAGGTTGATGAAAAAGTAAGGTCACAAATGTTCAAGCTCCGGGAGACGTGGCACGATGTCTTTCCAGGCACCAAACTGTACCAGCTGGATGTTAAAGTGAACTTAATAGACCCGGCGTGGCCCATCCAGGCACAGCCCCACCAATCTAACATCCATGTAAATCCCAATTTTCTGAAAAAGGTTATTTTAGTTAATTTTGTTTATAATGTAGCTTTGAAATTTAATTTACTATAATTTATAAAATATGACCCTTCTATTAACAATTTAGTTTAATAGGAATGGATATTGACTATTTGTTAGTTTGCAAAGCAGTTTCTATTTTGTTTCAAGATGCTGAAGAAAATTATTTAGTACCTCATATAGAGGACTAAGGAGGACTCTGTTATATGTAACGGAACCTAACATTTGAAATCTGAAATAGTCCTTATCACATTTCATTGTTATTTTGCCAGGAATGAATTCTGCCTGGTACAGTCAAGAGCATGTCAAGCTTGACACTTTGTTCATTGGACCATTCTTATCGTAAGCAGCATAGAGTTAGAGTGAAATCTTAAGTGTCATACTTGACGTGCTCTTGACCCTGTACCAGCAATTAGTCTATTCAATTACATTTCATATTTGATTTTCATAACAAACCAAAGAGTTCTGTAAATGCAAGTCACTAATGGAACATAATTTACAGAGTGTAGCAGCCACAAGCACCACCACAACAGCTCCAATAACAACCACGTTGACTGAGGAGGAGGAGAAGATGCGCAGTCTGCTGGCCAAGAAAGAGCAAGAACTATTAATGCTGCAGCGCAAGACAATCGAAATGGAGCTCAAGCAGACGCGCCGACAGCTGGAGGTTCACGAGAAAAGCTCTAAGAAGGTAAGTACATACTTAGACACCATTATTATTTGACTGGTGTTTTTGGAATATTATCCATTGAACCTGTAATTTTTAAACCCTGAAATTATGAAGTTAGTATCGACGTCACACCCTGCACACTCCATACAACAGTCGAAAGTTATTTACCTACTCCTATTACTACATACAGCGAGGCGCTATCTACACGCGCGCAAATGTATGCGTGAGGTTTAACAGAGGAGGCAGGATTAACCGTCACTTGTACATGGTCAGAGCGGCAACATAGCGAAAATTCTAACGCAAATCTGTTATCTTTAATTCTTTTAATAGAATCCCAATAATTACATACATATGTTCATTAGGTATTTATATCAATATTATTTTTCATTAATTCACCCAACGACGAGAATAATATTGAAGATTTATTTAAAAAATGTATTAAAAGCACTTAAAATGTTATATTTTGGACAGGTACTTTTAAATAAAACCAAATCAAAAACCAAGGTATTTGAAATTGCGTGTCCCAAGTTTATCATTACCTAGTTAATGATTGGGTATATGCACTACGTAATATTTATCTGCAATACAAACTGAAAATTCGAGAACCCTTGTCTACTAGCTCACGAAGTTATGGCGTCTCATTATATAGATATGATAAATCTGTATTATATATTACACTGCACTAAATGAATGAAGGAAACAATAACTGAATGAGTCTCAGCCATGAGATTTGTCATCTTCATTTCATCTTTCGGAAAACGAAAGAAACTTCTCTCTTTATCCTGTTTAGATGATGATAAACAGACGAACACAGCCCAATTCACGACCATTATTAATAGTAACGTACAATAATGTTATATATAACTTGTACGTTAAAGTTTCGTAATGAATAAATGAAAACTATTTCAAATATCAAAGCCAGGCTTTGATATTTGAATATAGTTTTAGCGCGAAAACAGCTCGCCAACAGCCTTGTTGTCAAAGTGTGGAGCGTGATGCGGTATGTAAAGCTAGGGAGGGGCGGAGAGTGTCCGTTCTCGTTACTTTTTATCCTCTATCGACGTTAATTGATTTAGAAGAAAGTAGTTCTTTACATGAAAAAGTAGCTCATCACACAGATACCCTTCACACTACTGCACATGCACTGTCTAGTTAAGATATCAGATAATATTACATAGACATTTTCATTTTTAATATGTGAACCAACAAACACACCTAAGTGAAGTTCAATCAGTATTATGCATTGACTTACAAATAAATGGACGACGGGTCTAATACACAAACCACGAAAAAAATGTCCGAAGTCAACCTATTTAAACGTAGTGACATGTAAAGGAATATGAAAAAGCTAAAACATTGAATTTAAATTGTAATGTCATCGCAGTGCTGTCTAATTTGGCTTGCTTCGCTGTCAGTCGAACAAACGAAGACTAAAGCGTGAATGACGCTCTGTATACGATTTTAACGCCCTATAAGTTCGGACACTTTTTAGCGCGGACCCGACGTCCATATAATTGTAAGTCAATGATATTATGAGTTGCATCATTTGAAAATATCTCTTAAAAATAGCATGTAGTAAGGTTGGATTAAAAATACAAACTTAAAAATACAACTTGTTTCTGTTTGTATTTGTGTTGAATAAACATGATCTATCAATCTAAAAAGGGTTGTACCACATAATATTTATACCATATCTGAGAATGAAGCGAAGAAATATAATGATAGTGGATGCTTGTCATTGACATAAAAATATAAGATTAAAATTAATGAAATATAAATAAATTAATTATGTAGTCATGTTTCTCTGCCTAACGCCTGTACTTTTTCAGTATTACAGATATGTTATACAAATGGACAAAGTGTCAAAATTTTTTTTTACCATTTTACTGCTACTGCATGTTTATTATAGGGTTCAGATTTGCAAAAATGTCTTAAAAATTATGAAATGCAAATGATCGAACAAAATCATCTTAACGAGGATCTAAGAGCCCTTTGTGCTAGGCACTGTCAGGGCAGTCAGATAACACTTACAGTGCTTAACTAAGCTTATTTAGTTATTTTATAGTTAAGGTACACCAACAGTATTACATATACTCTAAGATAACAGTGTAGTTTTACATTAGTTTTGTACTTATAATGTCTACCTATTACAGACCTATACACAGCATTTAATATCTAAGCAACAAAGAGAACTAACAACTTGAACTTACTGGGGAAGCAATTTGTGAATGTTATTTTTAAAAACATTATAGGAAGAATGAAAACTATCTATGTCTATTCGACAGTAATCTTAGATTAGTTCGACATCGTGATGCATTAAATATTGTAGTAATTTTATGACAGGGGTATGTATAAGGCATGTTAGTATTTATTTGATACAAAATATTGCAACAGCATTTATTAATATTTGGAGTATAAACAGAGCAATAATTTAGAAGTCAAAAATCATAATTGACCGTCATGCCTCATGTTAAATTCACGAGTGGGACGTTCCCTATCAAGTGATTAACACGCAGGTGTGCTCTGGTATTAATAGCTTTGTTTTCCGAACAATGCATTCATTGGCGATTAGTAGCACTGTTCATTGTGCAGTTCTATTTATTTACCATGTAGAACATGTATATTGTTGGGTATTTGTTTCAAACAACTCATGCATTGTTCAAATTTTATCATGGTCGTGATTTCACGGACACATGAATGTGAAACGATGATTAGCTAACGATCGCCCAGATGAAGTCGGAAGCGGATATTATTCTATGTTTCCTGCATTGACTTACAATTATATGGACGTCGGGTCCACGCTAAAAATGTCCGAACTTATAGGGCGTTAAAGTCGTATACAGAGCGTCATTCACGCTTTAGTCTTCGTTTGTTCAACTGACAGCGAAGCAAGCAAAATTAGACAGTACTGCGATGACATTACAATTTAAATTCAACGTTTTAGCTCTTTCATATTCCTTTACATGTCACTACGTTTAAATAGGTTGACTCGGGACATTTTTTCGTGGTTTTTGTATTAGACCCGTCGTCCATTTATTTGTTAGTCAATGGTTTCCTGTTATAATTTTAAAGATACGTAACATTGTTGGGAAATTTTGATTTCTGTTTACTGATCCTAGCGATAGTCTAATTTATTGTTATATTTGTCAATACTTTTAAGGTTTTTTAATGATGAAGTATACTATAATCATTGTGTTAGCCAATGGGTCCTTTTTTAGATGGATTATTTTTCCACCGGGGTGGCTTCCACCGCTGAGTTTTTTTCAATCAAGTCTTGTTTGATTAACTAATTATCACTCTTAATCAAGAAGGAAACATGATGAACCCTGCTATTTTGAGATGGACCTACCATATTTGACTTGTGGCCTAATCTTCTCAAAAGGAGAACAGTTCCCAGCAATTGGACATTTATACTGTTGATGATGATAGGTTCAGTTTCGTTGAAGTAACTGGCAAAATCCTGGCGATTAATAAGGCTCTTTTGTTATATATCAAGAGAGATATCATATTGGAGAATTAAAACAAAAAGGTTTTCGATAGTGTCATGCACTTTGACCATCTTCCAGAAATTAATTTATTCCTTCGCAGTAGAACAGTCAAACAAGAATCCACAAAGTCTTAAAACGCATTGTCGACTGCTGAAAAGTGGTCATCGGTAGGGACTAATTGAGGCGAGTATGGATGGTATGCGGAGAGCTTCAAACTGCGACTCCGTTATGGTGAATATGGTTTGTTCGGCACTATGTACGGTGGCGTTATTAATGGTTGATTTGCCGTGATTGTTTATTTTTGTCATGGAGTCTTGCCATCATTGCCCGCATTTCTTCGCAATAACCATCAGCCGTCATTTATTTATCAGATCTCAAGGAGTCAAAGAGGTTTACTCCGTTGCTGAGCCACCAAACGGTTAAATTCTGATCGTCTACGAAGCTCATCAAAACCGAAAAGGCGCAGAGCGTTTTTTAGTGGTATCCGTTCAATATATGCAACGGAAACCAATGAATACCGCCATTTGACATATAGAAGCCGAAAAGGTGTAATGCTGCACTAAAACGTAGATATAAATAAGAAAAGTACAATAGAATTTAATTCAAAATAAATTCATTACCACCCTAAGGCGGTAATGTAACGAAAAAGCCTGTGAATGTAATTTAGTACATTACCGCCGAGTTTGCCTGCATATCATGACTCTGTTTACGACCAAATGTGATGGTCTGTACCTCAGTAAGGGAATTTCATACCATAATCTCTATGTAATGCTTGACTTATAGTGTGTGAGATTATTTCATGAGAATTTTCTTTATGGTAAATATTGTTCTTAATAGCAACTTTGTATTAACGCTACAAGCTTTTTACCATTACTTGGGCATCGCTTTTGTCATAAAGTCTTTGATTAACGGTCATTATTGCTTTGTAATTGCTGAATTTACTGGTACATAAGGCAATTTTATATCATTTAATGCATTCCACTTTACCTTTCTTTCGTTTCAATGAATATTTTTACGCAAAAATTTCGAATTTCGCTACATTCAATATATTTTATTAACTCCAGTTTTTCAGTAATATATACTAGAGACATGTAAAAGCAGTAGACCTCTTATGAAAGAGTTCGTCCAGGAAAATAATTTCACCATACCTATTTCTGCCGCCAAGCAAGTAATGTAATCATTATTGTATTCCTGTTTACAAGAGTAAGGGTGCTGGTTAAATTACAGGCACATGGAACTTGACAACTTTATGCATCAGTGTGACGGATGCAGCGGCAGAACGTTTCAGATCTTTGCATTATAAAATTAAATCTTATACAGCACGGAAATTTCAACTGTTACTTTGACTTATCGGCGGCAAACGCTAGTTGTGCAATGCGCAACGGGTGCGTCCCTATCTGGAGGGTACTGTTCGTGTACCCGGGGCGGCTCATCCGAGCCACTAGCCTCTTTAGAACTGGATGAAGTCAATATACCTTATATAGGTCGGTAGGGATGGTTACCCCTTGAGGGGAATTGAAATTTGTTGAATAATTAAAATAGTTGCAGTTGATCAGAATTTACCAG